TTATACCCCGCCCTTCACTTGGAGTCTCAGAGTGGCTTACAAATGCCTTTCCCTTCCCCTCCCCACAACAGACACCCTGTGAGGTGGGTGGGGCTGAGAGAGCTCTGGCACAAACTGCTCTTTTTCAAGGACAGCTGTGCCAGAGCTTGTGACTGACCCAAGGTCACATCAGCAGGTGCAAGTGAAGGAGTGGGGAATCAAACCCGGTTCTCCCAGATTAGAGTCCGCACACTTAACCACTACACCAAACTGGCTCTACACCAAACTGTTACTACACCTAGCCATTCCATCACGGCATTCAGGCAAGCCAAGACTGGAATTCTGGCTACCAGTTGCCCCTTAATTAAGAGGTAGAGCTGGGTGTCATCTGCATACTGATGGCATCCCACTCCAGACCTCCTTACTATCTCCGCCAAAGGGCGGTAATTGGCTAGATGTGAAATAATATTTGAGAGAGAATCGACTCCTGTGGAACTCTACAGGTTAGGGCCCATGGTGACGACCTCACTCCACTTGTGATTATCCTCTGGGACCAGCCCTGGAGGAATGATGAAAACCAGCTCAAGGCCATACACCTCACACCTAGGGAGGCTAGGTGGTTGGCCAGGCTCAAATGGTCTGTTGTATCAAAGGCACCAGACAGATTCAACAGGATCAGTAGCGGCATCCCGCCTGCATCAAGCTGTAACTGGAGATCATCAACCAGAGCTGTCTCAGTCCCGAACCCTGGCTGGAACCTGGTTTGGAAGGGATCTTGGGTAGGTGGTTCATCTAAGAATTCCTGGAGCTGTTCAGCCACTGCTCGTTCAATCAACTTTCCCAGAGTGGAAGATTAGATACTGAGTGGTTATTGGCTAGGTCCCTCTCATCTAACAATGACTTTTTCAGGAGGCGTGTCAAAACTGCCTTCCTGAGGGAGCTAGGGAAAGCGCCCTAGGAGAGTGAGATTTATAATGTCTCCCAAGGCTCCTCCTACCACTTCCCTGGAGGCTTTCACCAACCAGTAAGGGCATAACCCTTGAAGTGCTATTTTGATTTGGGAATGTACAACATCAGTGGTTAAAACTTTTTCTTTTTGGTTGTTGAAAGTGCCATCCAGTCACAGCTGACTTAAGACAACCCAGTAGGATTTTCAGAGCAGGAGACATTCAGAGGTGGTTTACCATTGCCTGCCTCCGCATCACTACCCTGGTGTTTCTTGGAGGTCTCCCATCCAAATACTAGCCAGGGCGCACCCTGCTTAGCTTCTGAGATCTGATGAGATTGGCCTAGCGTGGGCTATCCAGGTCAGGGCATTTTCTTTTTAGGCACTGACAAAGTACTCTTAGTATGGTCAGCATCCTAAAGTGGCTTATCGAAAAAATCACTGTCATGACATGGTGCTGGGGATGAGAGGATTTCCTCCGTTCAATTTCTTTGTCCTGTTGTTCCATTATGACTTGAGTTCTGCTTTTGTTAGGTTCTGTCAAGAGATTAGAATTTTGGGTTATTGGTAAACTCCAAGTTTTGGGTTATTGATAAACTCTCCTAGGGAAAGCAGTGAAACCCGGCTTTGTTGCTTTTCTTCAAGCATCATAGCAACATTCCTGGAGGGCTCGCAAGAGCTGTGTGCTCTTTCCTTGGACATTCCTCCTACCCAGAGGAGGCAGGTGCTCTTCTTCCCTAAGGCTATTAGTGCCAAAAGAACTTGAAGGAGTTGCATTTTGCTTTCCTGTCTGTGTATGGCACCTTCACATGGGCCCATAGAAGAGCTGCCCTCTCCCCACAGATACAATACAACTCTATAGGGTCACATTGTTAGCCAAGTGCAGACATTTAGTAAGTTATTCCTTCTGTTTATAGGTAACTATTTTTGTTTTTAGAAAAACTAAATTTTTCTCATTCTTTTCCACTTCCTCGATGTTGGCAGGAACAATTTAAATTGGGATATAAATGAATGAGTTGGTAAGAAAACTGTTCAAAGAAGATTACAAATCTTATTAAATAAGCAGTGGATTTAGTAAAGAATTTAGCAGCAAAACTTTTGTCTAGCAGAGTATTGGGAAAGATCTTTGCAAGGCTCAGGATAAGCTTTTAAAGAGAGACTATGACTAACTCGACATATAGGAGGAATTGACAATTAAATATGTAAAATAAACTTCTGAAAAAAATCATCCTTCATCATTTTATTAGTATAATGTACTAATTGTAAGCCACAGTTCAATCATGGTGGAGAATTTTACTTTGTGCATAGGAAGCCAACCCCAATTACAGGAGCCAGATTTGGCCATTGCAACAAGTAGTTACTAGATAAAAGGTATCCTGCGCTAGAAAGTTCTGTTGCTTAGCACTGTGCACACATGGAGCAGGGAGTGCATAAACCATGCTCATTCTCACAGTGAATGTATGATGCCTGAATATAGCTGATAAGTGACTGTTCAATATGTTTTTGCTGCTCAGTGCTCATAGTAGCAGAATCCCAAACTTAATTATTTGTCCTTGTTCTTTTGTATTCTGTAGCATAACTAGTTGCTCTATGGGTGTCCATCTCATACTTTGTTCACAGTGCTTATGAGTGAAGCTGCAGCTGCAAATGCCAGGGGACAGTTAAAGGCTTTCTGCATTGAATTCTGCATGCTAATGACAGAATGTAAGGTCTGGACTGGCCCACACAGTCAGCAGAATGAGGCGGTTGACTTCTGATGTGGTTAAAATGGGCTATCCCTAATAACGCAGAAAACAAAAGTTGTAGCCTTCCCAAGAAATATGTTGATGTAGTTGTTTATTAATCAAGTTGGTATTGTTGTTAATCATTTTTATTATTTATAATTGTTGTATTTTAAGTTCATGCTGATATCCAAATAAAAAAAAAAATCAGATTTACAATGTAATTACTATGCTAATACTTTTTGTCTTGGAGATGTCTGCTTATAACACTGTATTGATATGTTATTGTTTATATGAAAATTAATTAAAAATTCTATATAAAACAAATGGGATATCCCAAACTGCAAGAGGGGGGAAACTATGTTTTTAATGCCTCCCCATGTAAAATGCTTGTTACTGAATATACATTCTTTATTCTTAAAGTCTGCCATTTGTTGCTGTTCGTGTGCAAGCTCATGCTACTGTGCAAAATAACTAAAATAATTAGGAAACTGCCCAAGCCATAGACTTGGTGGGCCCAGCCTAGGTGGAAAAGACTCAACATATTTAATTCTTAATGTGACCAAATCTGTGGATATTTAAATCCAGAGATTGGAGCCCTGAACAGACAAGACAGTTCTTTCTGCAAGTCTAAGAAAAGCCCCAGGTTTACAGAAAAATCTGAAAGCTAATGATGATAATAATAATATAAGCGGCAAGTGTAGTTTTAAGAAACAAATGCCCTCTGTGACCGTTTCTATGCAATCTCAACAGTATTGCCAGCTGAAGCCTTGGTTTCTGTAAGTAAAAGGTGGGGGTAGGGGCAGGGTCTTTGAGGGAGGACTCAGTGGGACCAGACCCAGTAGGAGCCATTAGTCAACTTGCTCATCTTACCCGGGCTTGGCTGCTTGTTACTATTCAACAGCAAGCCACAAAAGCCAGTGTGGTATAGTGGTCAGAGTTTCAGATTAGGATCTGGGAGACCTGGGTTCAAATCCTTACTCTGCCATGAAATCTTGCTGGGTGACCTTCAGCAGTTATACACACTCAGCCCAATCTATCTCACAGGATTGTTGTGAGAATAAAATGGAGGTGATTAGAAAATTGGAGTGGCTTTCGGTCACCATTCTGGAGAAAGATGAAAATGGGGCCCAGGTAAAACTAGGTTGGTTGGTAGGTGGGAAGAACAGTAGAAATTAAAGGCTATGGGGGTTGCAGGGAAAGTAGAAATAGTATGGGGAAGGGGATATAGGGGGAAAGACATTCAACACTGCACAACTGTGTCTAGCTCGGTGGCTGGCACTGTGCAACTTGGCCATATTTTTTCTGGGTAGAGGCTACCAGGAGGAGGGAGAGAAAGCTGAAGATGGGGGGCAGATAAGGGTAGGTTTGCTTGGTAGATGGAAGGACAGAAGGAAGCAGGAAAAGGGAGAGGCAAGGGAGACTTTCAGGGAAAGGAAGGAGGAAATAGTGGGTGAGGAGAAAATGAAATGCCTCCCCCACATGTCCTTGCAGCTTCCCAAGTAGTCCTGTATATTAGCCTCTTGAATGACTAAGGGAAGCATGCAAAAAAACCCCCAGTATTAAGCATATCTTGAGATGCAAGTATTTGTTTAACCAATTAACAAATACTGGCCTGAGTTTCTAGTAGATAAGGATTTCTTTATTTTACCTGTTTAAGCTGAAGAGCAACTATAAATACCTCAAGTTGTTAAGCTGTTGTAGGAATAAGATAAGAGTAACTTTATATCTGGAGGAATTGAGGTCCTACAAAAGAATAAATGAGCAGAGATAATGTCTTGTTTAGCCATGGGTGTGTTGTAGTTATAACACTGTGGCGAGTGAGAGGTCTTGGCTGAAGAGCATCATGCTGAGGAAGGGAGAAGCATTCTCTGTAATAGAAACCAACAGCTGTATTTTCTTGCTCAGGTAGGTGGTGGTAACATCAGTGAAGAATCTATCATTAGAAAGATAGTTGGGCTAATTACTTCATTTGCAGTAATATATTGATAGGAGAAAGTTCGCCTGTTGAATTTCTTCCTGCCAGATAGAGAATTAAAAGGCAAGGTTTTTGGTCAACATGTAGGGGTCATTTTGAAAAGGCAAAGTAGAATCAACCAGCCTCTTTTCTTTTCCTCCCCCATTTCTTCTCTGCTGCCAAAAATATCTTTTTTCCCCATGAGGAAGATGCACTTGCTTGGCCAGCCTTTTATGTGGCACCCACTTGGCTCATAAGTTCCCAAGTCTGACACAAGAACTTCCTTTAGGGTCAAAACGTGGCTTCTCTGTGCTATAGAATGCTTGGATGGCAAATGTGATGTATAACTCTAGAACACATGTAATTGCTAATAAGATCTTTGTGCCTTGCTTTTTAGGGCCACTGAACTCAATTTCCTTTCCCCGACACGAGGAGGAGTACCTTCAACTGACAGTAAATTGTCGCCCATGCCTTTTAATCTTTGGCCAGAACTGTAATGCCAAATGCCAATTGCTGAACATGCTTTTGGGAGAAAGACTGCTTCCCACCAACAAAGTTAGCAGTGAGGAGAACTGTAAAAGACGTCGAATTCACTTCAGATATGGAAGACAAACACGGATTAGTTTGGCTTTACCAGGACAGTATGAACTGGTTCATAATTTGGTAGCTCACCAAGGTAGATGGGAGACAATACCTGAGGAGGACTTAGAAATCCACGGGGATAATGAGGATCTGGCACACCAGATTGCGGAGCTCGAGGTGACACTGAACCACACGTTACTGCAGGTACTAACATTCTTATATGTTCTTGCTTGAATTTCTGACAGACTGAGCTTTGTTATGAAGCATTGTTACATTGTACTGTAGATTGTGATAGGCAGAATAAATCCTATATAAAACCCAAGAAGAGCCCTGATGGCAGTGTGGATTGCATTCCTAAATATTATTTGGAAAGAGAATTATATGCACTTCTGCATCACTCTTGCCTTTAAGAAGTCTCTTCTTCTCCATTGTAAAATCAGGACTTGGAGGGAGCAACATATTGTAAAAAAAAAATTGAGTGGGAGGATAGTGCTTAACCCTTCCCCTTCCTGATATGTTTCCTTCATCATCCCCCTCACCTATTGCTTTTTTTCAGCCCAATTTTCAGTTCAGTTACTGTATATTCTTGTACTGTCATCAACTTGGATTTTCACAAGGATGAAAATATATGTAATGTAAAACAAAGTTTAGAGTACTTCCCAGAGCCATGTGACAAGGCAAGATTAATTGAACACTGGCTTGTCAATTAGTCCTGCTCTCCTATCCTGCTTCAGAAGGCCCCCCCCCCCCCAAAAAAAAACCCCTGGCTTGTCAATTATTAGTTCTGCTTTCCTATCCTGCTTCAGAGAGTTCGCCCCCCAAAAAAGTACGAAACAGTTTCAAGGATTAAGGGGGTGTTGGGAGGAGAAAATACTTCCTTATGGCATTATGGAGGGCCCTTTGGACAACTAGCATTTTATCTTTATTTTGTTTAGTATTGATTTAGAACATCTTATTGTCTCCTTTCCACCCAACATAGGCTTCCCAGGTGAACAAACTTTAAAGTAGACTTTTAAGTAGACATGTTAGAATACACAAGCTAATTAAAACACATGAACAGGAAGAAGGGTCACTTTGAAAACACCAATTGAAACAGGTGCCTTCACCTGCTGGCAGTGGTTGAAAGGGACAGCCATAATCTCCCTGAGAAGGGATTCTATAATTTTGATGCCAGGACTGAAAAGGCCCTTTCTTGGGTTGCTACCCATCTTGCTTCAGATGCTGAGGGCACCCAACAAAGGGCCCCTGTAGATGGCCAGAGTAATCAGATAGGTTCAGTTGGCCTTATAAAATATTAAGATGGCCTTATAAAACCAAGTAGATTGGATAAAAGGATTAGATCTTGAATACTGTAGTACAGCAATGCTTGAAGAACAGGGGTTTCTAATCCCCTTCTTGCTGCTGATGTCCATTGACCCCCCCCCCCCGATTCTGGTCTGGGAGCTGGGCAGGGAACCTCACAAACAGTATGAAATGCAAAGAGGGAATTTGAAGTGTGCAAGATTGCTTTCCTTCTCTGCCCACATAAGTGTCATTATGCTGAGGAACACTTTTATGTCCAACCCTATAGACTTGATTTAGCAATCAATAGACGCAAGAATTACTGATCTTTCCTGCAGTCTGTTCCAACCCCAGAAAAGTTTATTCCCAAGGTTACAGGATCTCCCTGGATTAAGAGCCCTGCAGGTTGGGAGGCTATGGTAGAGAGAAGGAAGAAGGCAATGAGTACAGCTCTCCCTCCCTCCTTCAGCCTACTAACCCTTGTACCCATTAACTCATGCAGGTCCTATGACTCCAGAAATAAATTTTCCTAGGGTTGGAAAAGACTGCTGGGTAGAAGGAAACTTGAAACATTCTGGTGCTCTTAGTGCTTATGAGGGTCAAGCTATCAAAATAAGTTATTATAAAAAATACAAATATGTATTACTAGGAATAAGGCTCGTTGTGGAAATGAATACGACAAGCTCTAGAAAGAGGCTCTGGGAGAGTGCCAATGTGCTGGGGCGACCTCAGCAGGGTATAATGGCACAGAGTCCACCATTTTCTCCAGAGGAACTGATCTCTGCTACTGCTGAAGAGCAGTTGTAATTTTGAGTGATCTCCACCCCTCACCTGCAGATTGGCGACAATTGTTACCCAGGAGGGAATGGCTGGTTTGGAGGGTGGAGTCTATGGCATTGTACCTGTTTGAGGTCCCACCCCTCCTCAAACCTCACTCTCTCCAGGTTCCATCCCTCAAATGTCCAGGAATTTCCCACCTCGAGTTGGTAGCCCTGTCTCCTTCCCAGCCAATCATCAACCTACCTTTATTTCCCCCTCACTCTTCAGCTTCCCATTTCCCCCCCACACACACCTGTAGCCTCTTCCGTGCTCTGAAGCCTTGACTGCCACAGAGTCCACCATTTTCCCCAGGGGAACTGATCTCTGCCATCTGGAGAGCAGTTGTAATTCTGAGTGATCTCCAGCCCTCACCTGGAGATTGGCAACAATGGTTTTCCAGGAGGAAAAGTAGTCTTTCTCTGCAATGGGGACCAAAGCAGCTTACATCATTCTCCTCTCCCCCTTTTGACTTGCACAACAACCCTGTGAGGTAGGTAAGGCTGAAAGTCTGTGACTGGTCCAAAATCACCCACTCAGCTTCTGCAGCAAGAACCTGGATCTAGCAGACCCTGCCCTGAAACACTGACTGCTACGTCTAGGGCAGCCAGCCTACAGGTGGAGCCTGAATATCACCAGGTATCACAACTGAACTCCAGGCAACAGATCTCCCCCCCCCCCCGAGAAAATAACTGCTTTGGAAGGTGGCCTGTATGGCATTCTGTTCAGCGGAGACCCCTCCCCAAAGCCTGGCCTCTCCCCTCCCCAAAGCCTGGCTTCCATGGACTCTACCAGAAAATCTCCAGCTGGCAACCCTAGTCAGGACTGGCCCCAATGAGTTCCTCACAAAGGCCTGCAAAGGGTTTCCTTGCTTTGTCTGAACCAAGCTTGGTTGCCTACTATGGTGAAACAGGCTCCAGTTTACAACTCAGCTGCTTGCCTCCTACCCTTGTCCCGTGGGCGTATCTCACTCCTTAAATTCGCTGCCACCACTCACGGAATCGTCACTGCCTTTTTAGAGGGACAGTGAGACCCTTCTGGCCAAATCTCCGTATTTGGAGATGGAATCCCCAATCTTTGGGGGATCCCTGGAAAGTTGGCAACCCAAGGGTTTGGCCTTTCCTGGCTTCCCTGGGCTACCCCCTCCCTTTGGTATTGGCACTGAACACAAGCTAAAACAAGAAGTTTTGGGCTTGGTTTTGTGTATTTCAACCAGATATGTATTTATGTTATATAGGTCAGCTAATACAGAGCTGCTCAAATGGTTTTTGAAAAACCAGTGACAAAGATCTCTTTGTTAGACTCCAGATTCATCTAGGTCAAATTGTATGAAAACAGCCACCCAAATTGGGTAGGAGTAGAAAATTAAGATGGAGTTCTGTTGGAGAGGGGAAAGACTTGGAACCCTCTCTCTTTTAAAATAGAATTTTAAAGGATGTTAATATACTTCTCACACCAATATGGAAACTTGACTGCATTATCATTGGGGAAAACACTTTGCTACAGAATCTTCTGTTTTAAATTAGAACTGGGAGAGGGGCATCAGTTAAGTTGATTTCAAAACCTATCCATGCCTTACCTTGTGTCTGAGACAGCTTACAGAAAAGATCAATCTTTTCTAGAGTTTAAAGAAACATATAGTTCAAGGGAAATGTTAATGTTCTTACAAAAATCACTCGTGCACCAAGAGTCATGAGGATCATTATTTAAAGCTGCTGTTTCATGCACCCTGCAAACAGTGAAGAAGATACGCAGTCTCTCGCATTGTGTGAGGTTACAATTTGGACACCATGCACTCACAATTTGCTGTAGTCTTTCAGTCTCCAGGCCTTCTTTGTCTGAAGGTGTGGTGGCATCACTGAAGCTGGTATGAGTGCTATATAAGAGTTTAATAAGATCTTGTCTAAATTATAAAATTAAGAATAAAAAATGCCTAGTGAAAGGAACTGATGCATCTAAAGAGTTGTTTTGGAAAGAAATTATGAGATGATTTACAGATCTCAACTAGTTATGAATGGACTGATGAATGCAATTAGAAATGGGCAGAATGATGCATTTCTGATGAAAAATAATTGGGAAGACGGATTGGAGACCTTGGGCAGTGTTCCTGTGCAGGTTAAGAGGAGCAGGATTCAGCCCTTCTAATCCTGAACAGTATTGGCTCTTGAAACTGCCCCCCCCCCCATGTGCTAAGAAGTAAAAAAAAGACGTGCCAGAATGGATAAAAATAAATGTTTATTTAAATTGATTTTTAAAAATATTTCAGCTGTAGCAAGCTTCTCGGTTTACAATAACAGGGTTTAATATAAAACTTTAACTCTGCATTTGTATTATCTCTTGATATTGAATTTATAATGCTGCTCTTCTTCGTAAGGAAAATGAGGGAGCATCTTCAACAAATCATTGTAAACTACAGTAGTTCATGTACCTTGTATTACGCCATGTTCTTGTGGACCAGCCGCTAGCAAGTCACTACAGTTCCCATCCACTGATGAATCTAGTTTTTGCCGAGTTGGTTCAGTATTTTTAATTTAAATCTCAAATAAGGTGTTATCTTAATTACTTTATCCTGCTCCCCAACAAAGGTGTTCAAGGTAGCGTACATTCAATTAAAAACGTAAGTAATTTTAAAATGCCAGCATAAAATAACTTTTTAAATAAGCGTTACTTACTGACTGCATGAGTAAGTGAGGTAAGTCTTTAATCAGCTGAATATCTGTGGAGAGGGTGATTGATGGGTTACTGGCATCTGTTCATGTATCATTTCTCTTTCTGTAAACTCTCTAACCCCTAAAAATCTTTGCCTGCTGTTCCCTTTACACACAGGCTATTCTAGCATCACACCTACCCTTCCAATATACTTTATATGAAGAAGACAATGACATATTTTTAAAGAGCCATCTTTGTTTCTGTAGTGGCAGATTGCTGTCTTGAACCAAAGATACCTTAGAATTTCAGTGTTTTCTTTCTCCCCCTCCTCTTTTGAAAAGGGCTTCTGCTTCTTTCTCCTGATATGGTAGCCTAGTCCTTAGTCTTCAAAAAACAAACAAACTGGGAATTTGCACTGGTATTTAGAGAACCACATTGTATTCCTGCCCCCACCCCCT